ACATAAGATATATAACACATAAGATGTGACTTTCTCCTGTTTCTTAGGCTTATCAACAGCAGCACAAATGTGCTCATCAACATCAGGAATAATAATAGGTGCTTACTAAGTATGGAGAAATCTGAAAGGGCTTCCAATATAAAATAGCTTTCTCTATTTGTTACCCAATATATATTGTATTTATAGCTCCTTTAACCTTAGTTTATCTGGTGCTCTCCCAGGTATGTTGACCCTGAGGAATGTATAATATGAATCCTGTTTTTTAGAGCTGATGATGGAATTTTTAAAAAGTTAAATTGAAGACAGTACAGGTAGCCTAGGAGCCATGCCCCTCAACATCCAGCCGTTAGAGCATGAGGGACTAAGGGCTGACTTTCAAACTTGAGCCATTTATCTGGGATTCTGACATACCTTTCTACTGCTACAACTGCTCTGCTTCTAACCACAATGACTGCATGGATATCCAAAATAGAGATTTTAACCCAAACTGGGAGAGGAGCCACCAGACCTGTCATACATTCAATATTTATCAAGCCTGCAGTCTATTTTTCTGGATGTTACTGATTTGTTATTCTGTTTTGTCAGCCTTGTAAATTCAGGCATATTTTAAGAAACTGAGTGTCCTAATGTTTTGTTGAGAAATAGTCATTTTGGCTGTCTTATATATATTTCCTAGACTTTTACAGTTGCTTAATTTCTAATTTCTATTATTGCCAATTCAACTACCAGTTGGTTTCTCTTTTTTCTCCTATTAATTCATCTCCCCCGTGATTGCCCCAGAGCAGACACCTAGGTGTGATGCCAGATGTCCAGGTTCTCAAACATCTACTGAAAGAGAGGTACCTGCATAAAATCACCTTACTTAGCCAGGCTCAGTGGCTCAGCCTGTAATCCCGCGCCTTTGGGAGGCTGAGGTGAGTGGATTGCCTGAGCCCGCGGGTTCAAGACCCACCTGGGCAGCGAGACCTCATCTTTACAATAAATCAAAAAATCAGCCGGGTTTGGTAGCGCATGCCTGTAATTCCGGCTACTTGGAAGGCTGAGGCGGAAGGATCGCTGGAGCCCAGCAGGCGAGGCTGCGGTGGCTGGGAGCGGCCACTGCACTCCAGTCTGGGTGACCGAGTGAGACTCCAACTCAAAAAAAAAAAAAAACCCACCTTACTTAACTGGAAAACTCTTTTATTTACATGATCAGAATTTGCTGTCCTCCTAGTTTATACCTTGATGAGAGAAAGACATCAAATGTCAACTGAAGTGCTTTTTCCTTCCTTCTTTATTTTAATGTTTGTAAATGCTTGGTAAATGCTTGCTTTTGTCTTCAGTCCTGAATAACTTACAGCTTCATATGTCAGCATATGTTTAGGATCATCCTAGAAATGACCATCCTCCAGTACTTAAAAAAAAGGCATGTATGTGTATGTAGATAGGTTTTTTTACATTTGAATTTATTAAATCTGTGTTCTATTTCTTTGTTTTATTCAATAATAAAACATTAATCAAATAATTCAATAATTTTTTTTCTATATTTCTATACCCGTGTATGAGATTGACTCCATTCTTTTTATCAGCAGCATAGTGTTCTATGCAGTTTTCATAATTTGGTCATAATTTATTTTACCTCTTGTCTATATAGATGGATACGTAGTTTTACCCTTCCCAGATTTTTAATATTTCAAATGATACTGTTGTTAACTTCTTTGGACATTTAGCTATATTTTCTTAGGTATGTCTTTAAGATAGAGTCCTGCAGATGGGCTTTTTGATTCCAAGGACAGGTATATTTAGAATTTTGATAGATACTCTTTGTCAGGCTCTCTCCTGTCCATGCAAATATACAGCATGTATACTCTTATCCCCATCCATGGGAGAATTAGTTTCTCCTCCTTCTCTTCCCACGCAAGATATTATCAATCTGATGAGTTAAAAAATATATATTTCTTGTTTTCATTTGTATATTCCTGATTAAGCGTGAAACTGAGTAGATTTTTCCTATTTTTTCATAAAGCAGTGCTCTTCAGAAGGATTCAACAGCTAAAGGTAAAAACAAAAACTTTAAAATGCTTCAAGAAACCATAGGAAAATATATAATAACATAGGGGTAAATTCATAAAGTAAAAGTTAATGGATTTTTTACCACATCTGTAAAGTATATATGCAGAAAGCATCAGAATACAGTTAAAAGATTACCTCTTTTTTTAAAAATATGAGGATGTATTTGCCGTACATGGCAAACAAAACACTGATCCTCAGAATGTATAAGAAGTTTCTACAAGTCAGTAAGAAAAAGAACCAATAGAAAAATGTAAATAAATTCTTTGTAGAAGAGGAATCCTAAATGTGCTCATCCCCCCCCCACCTTTAACAATATACTTATGTCAATACATATAGACCTGCTTGATTCTCTTAAACAATTTTATGGATTACCCAACAAACAAGTTTGTTGATGGACATCTAGGTTAGTTTCTATTTTTTACTATAATTCTCCAATGAATATGTGTGTGTTATACACTTATCTGACGTCTTCTTTGAAATTAAATTTCTACGAGTTAATTTGCTAGACTAAATGATATGTGCATTTAAAATCTGTTATGTATTATAAATTGCCCTCCCAAAAGGCCTACCACCATTGGATAAGAGGGGACCCCTCATCACAAACCATCACAAGCATTATCAGTTTTTTAGTCTTAGTCTATCTGATAGGTGAAAAATTCTCCCTTATTTTTAAAGATTTGCTTCTTTTATTACTACTAAAATTTAGTATATTTTAATGCTTATATTTTAAATGTTTATATGCCATTTGTTTTTGTTTTGCTTATTAATTTTATTTATTGTTTATTCTATCTTCCATAGATGTTTCTATATTAATTATGTGAACTCTTTTTTTTTTTTTTGAAAGCAGGATTTATTGAAAGGACAGAAAATCTCCCACAGTGGGAGAAGACCCAAAAAGGTTGCTCCGTGAACTCTTTATATATTAATGATACCCTTTTTCTGTCATTGACACATATGTTGCAGTTTGTTTTTGTTATTTGACTTTTTACTATATTCATGATGTTCTTTGACAAACGTTTTATATCGTCATGTATGTTTAGTCAGGCCTTGTATTTTCCAGCTTTGATGTCTTATTGTTATTGTTGACATACAACACGATAGTTAATATACTTACATTCTCTGAGTATATATTATTCTGCTTCTTGGAATCCTTATCCCTAGAAAAATATTTAAAATGTATTGTATATTTTAAATGCCACAAGAATAACAACTCTTCCAAAGCCACACAAATCAGAATATGCAATTCCTGTACCCCCACATCTTTAAAATAAAATATAAATAAGAATATGTATTTCCTATAGCTTGTTTTAGTGATCATCCTAAGTTTTATTTGCCAGTTTTTATACAACATAGTAATATTTCCACATCAATTTTATTCATCTCTGTTCATTATTATTCATATAATTTAACATCTGAGTTTTCTCTGTTAGATTGTTTTTTTCTCCAGATAGCATTCTTTTCATAATGAATTATGTCTCCTTATATAGATCTAGTATATTACCACTCACTTGATAACAGCTATTTTTGATGATAGGACTCTAGAAATAAGACATTCAGATCCTGGCAGGTTACAAAGATCTTACAGACTGATTATAGATCTACTAGCAACAGATTTTTATCATCCTTTCAGCAAACTTGACCACTATATTTAATAGAGAGGATAGTATAGTATTACTATGGAATAGATCTACTTACTATGCATATTCTCACTGCTTTAAATTCACTGATCATATAAAAAGAGAAGAATGCTCTAGTTTACTGTTTGATCTTTGCCACATAGATCTAATGTCACGATCAATTGCTTTCAGTATTTTCTTTGAAATCACATAAGGTTCATATGTGCCAAATTTCATAAGGATCACAAGATAAGGTCAAGAAATACAAATTCCAAGGCAGAATTTATATGCCCGCTTCACATATGACAGTACCACTAAATAACCATATGTTGAATATAATACACTGCATGTAAATGCTATTCTTGAAAGCAATCCAATCAATAAAACCTAAAATAAATAACACTTTAATAACACATTTCAAATAGACTGAAAATGGAATAGATGGACTCTGTGGCAAGAACGTCCCTATAATATTGACATCCAGAGGCTATTAAAACATAGAGAATAAAACAATCATGAAACTAAAGAAAAACTGAATATTTAGAAGTTGTTTTAAAAGCTTACACTGTACGCCAAGATATAGCAGTCGTTTTTATTTAAAGAGCTATTTCAATAAAAGCTATGGCTTTCTAAGCATTAAAAAGCAAACTCAATTTGCTGTCACCAATAGCCAAAAATATTTTTTAATTCATATTAACCAGAAAAAGTAAATATGTATATATAATATTAAACAGAAAAATAGGCAAAACAGAAAACTCAAGTTTCAGTCATAATTGGGACTAATAAAAGACTGTCCAATTTTTATCATTAAAGAAGGTTGTGGGAAAGCTACTGATGTTAACTTCAAAAGCCTAGCAGTAAAAAGTGATTGTAATATCAGTAAAATTCTGAAACACATCAAATAGCCCCTAAGTAGTACTAACCTACTGTATCTTTGAACATGTATATGCTCTTTTTTCTGAAACTGACAAGATTGCCATTTTTTTCTTTGTTTCCAACATCACCTTTAAGAAAATTTCCAAGTATTAAACTGTTATCAGTCAGCAGCTTAGAGTACAGATACTTTGCCTTCTCCCAAAGATGATACAAGATTTGAAATGTTTTTTCCTCTTTGGCCTAGTTCTGGAAAACATGATTTTGTCATCCAACCTTGTACAGAGATAGTTGATCTTTTTTGATACAAGTACTTGCATACTATATGTGTACAAATGAAACAATGAGGATTTCATACAATTAACCATTTTTTCTCTCATTTATCAATTCAGACTCATAAACCAAAATGAGATATTTGTGATGTAATAGATGGTTTTAATTTCAATTTTGTCACTTTAGATCCCGGGAAGACTCTGCCTGAAGCCCTTGATTACTGTACTGTTTGGCTGCAGACAGTGCCTGGAGAAATAGATAGCAAAAGTGGTATTCCACCTTCTCTTGTAACGCTACAAATTAAAGACTTTCTTAATGGACCAGGTAAGAGTCATAATTCAAATGTGTGTACATTTTTTTTCATGTTGAGTGTATTAGCATGCATATAGGATCTATTAACAATCTTGTTCCTTGCTGAAAAAAATGAATAGTTTGTTTTCTAGAAGTGTATCCTTTTCCCATTTCAGAGATCAAAAGGCAAATATAAATATGTATTAAAAATTACCTTTAGTCTGACAAGAAGTGGTTATCAATTAAACAATAGTTGACTGGAAGCCGAAGTCCCAATATTTTATTTTATCTTTTCTATTAACTATACTCTTAGACATTCGATCTAATATTCTGTATCTCGGTTTCCTTACCTGAATATGAAGAGATTGGATGGATGGGTGGATGGATGGATGGATGGATGGATGGATGGATGGATGGATGGATGGATGGATAGGATAAGAGGAGAATCCTGATATACATACATAAGGTAATATATGTAGACAGATTCGATTTGATAGTTAAATACACCTCTTTCAAATGCTTAGGAAAGTGCTTGGGGAAAAAGCAAGCACTCAATTTTAGATAGACACGGATATCAAAATGTAGTAAGTGGTAATAATGTCATAGGCACTTTACATGCTGGTGTAGACCCTAGGAATAGGCACTATAGTTATCCTGTTTTATGAATAAAGAAGCTAAGACTTAGCAAAGTGAAGTGAATTGCCAAAGGTCATAGCAACAGAGACATCATTCAAACTTAGGTCTCTATGACTTAGGTCATTCAAACTTAGGTCTCTATAACTTCTGTACTATGCTAATTTCAGCATAACTAAATATTTTCCTCTCCTTATCCTCCTCTTCTGTCACCTTCTTTTTCCCGCTCTTCTTCCTTCTCCTCATGTTCATCCTTCTGTTATTTTTTTCCTCACCTGTTATGGTCTTAGCTACTTATTTAACAGAAATTACTGTACTTTGGTTTTGCTTTTGTGATTTTATACTTAAAGTGCTTCACAATATGATAGTTATGAAATGAATTTTAATTTCTTCACTGAGAATTTAAAACATTGATGCACTGTCTTAAGATACGCCAGAATATTCTTGCAAAGCATGAATTTTAATGACGGAAAAATATCCATATGTAGGCTTTATTCATAATGTGTGTTGTAACATGCCAGTGTACTTATGACCTGTCACTACAGATGAAGAAGGCCACTCATGATGGCTGGGGTAAACAGAGTTTGAAATGACCTCCACTGACCCTTTCACCAGGGCACAGTTCTTCTTCACCATATTTCTCCAGTGCTGGTATTGTGAAGATGTATAAGTATAAAAGAACTATTTCTGATGATGATGATAAATACTTAGATAATAGTTTTAAAGACTTGAAAGAAAGCAAGAAACTGATGATAAAGGATAAAAGAGTTGTCAAAGTGTTGGAAGAAGTCTTTGAAGTGAAGTAATAGATAAATTGGAGAAGTGTAAGTTCCTAGTATTTGGTTAGTGAGTGTGAAGTACCATATTTCATTGGATCCAAGTCAATTGTAAAAAAAAAAAAAAAAAAAAAATTCTATGTACCAGTAAAAAATAAAAAAAGAAAAATCTGCCATAGAAATTATGTTACAGTGCTTTCATATTACATCAGTTTTAGGACACTTCTTGATTTCTTTCTGAACATGATAGAACAGATGAAATAGGGTAAGAACACATGGTTCATGGAGGAGGGTCAGGGAAACTTCTTATTTCTCAGGTTTCTTTTGTTTTTAGGCAGTCTTTCATTCATTTGGCTCGAAAATTAATCTTGTTAGTGGTTCTCTTTATTTTTGATTGAGTTGTTTGTAAAAAGACGGAATTTGCAAGTTTGTGATAAATTATATACCATATTTTCAAGGCGACCAAATAAATTTATTTTTAGAGATACCAATGAATAAGTAAAAAATTATATATGTATAGTTCTAGCATTTAACATAACTATGTAGTAGAAATATGATTTTTAAAGTAGTTATACGTTTGTGTTTCTTAAGATACTTTTCAAAATTGGAATTAGATACATACCATTTCTGATTTTACGTTTATTCAGTACTAGTGATAATTTCAGCCAGGTGTGGTGGCTCACACCTATAATTCTTACACTTTGGGAGGCCATGGTGGAAGGATTGCTTGAGCCCAGGAGTTCAAGACCAGCCTAGGCAACATAGCAATATCTTGTCTTTACAAAAAATTGTTAAAATAGCCATGTGTGGTGGCATGTGTCTGTAGTACCAACAACTTGGGAGGCTGAGGTGGAAGGGTCATCTGAGCCTAGGAAGTTGAGGCTGCAGTGAGCTGTGATGGCACCACTGCACTCTAGCCTGAGTGGCAAAGTGAGACCTCGATTTAAAAAAAACACAAAAAATAAAATAATAATAATAGTAGTGATAATATATTTAGAGATGTAAACTTTTAAGTAAATTAATTTAAACAGTTATTTTACAGCAGCAGTTCTCAAACTCTGTTCCACATTTGAAGCATCTCTGGGGGTTTGTTAAAAATGCAAATGGAGCCGGGCTCGGTTGCTCAGCCTGTAATCCCACGCCTTTGGGAGGCTGAGGTGAATGGATTGCCTGAGCCCGCAGGTTCGAGACCCACCTGGGCAGCGAGACCTCATCTCTACAATAAATAAAAAAATCAGCCGGGCGTGGTAGCGCGCGCCTGTAATTCCGGCTACTCGGAAGACTGAGGCTGTGGGATTGCCGGACCCCAGCAGGTCGAGGCTGCAGTGGCCGGTAGCGGCCACTGCACTCCAGTCTGGGCAACAGAGTGAGACTCCAACTCAAAAAAAAATAACGCAAATGGTAGTTTAATAGTTCTAGAAGGTAGGAGTTGAAACTATTTATGTCTAGCAAGTTCCAAATGAAGTGGATGTTATTGGTCTGAGGATGATACTTTTTGTACCAGGTTTTATATGACTCATTAAAAATTATTTTAAAAATCATACATGTGTGATTTTTAAAAATTGTATATGCTTTTCTAAAAGGCATCAGTCACAGTTTTTGAGAGCCAAACTGAAGATATTTTGGGGCATGAGATGGGCAAATGGCAGAGATGAGCAGTTTTTAGAATGGTACATTAATTATGAAAAATTAAATATCAAATCCAATGAATGATTTAAGTTTTTGTCTAAAACATTTTAACCAAAAATTCTTTTATTTAATGGAAGATTATTTTAAATGGTAAATTAGCTGGTGGGGTTTCAGCTAAAACACTAACCTAACAACTTTGAATTGCTCCAGAATTTCCTGTCCCAGGCAACAATGTTCTTGCCATAAACAATTTGTCATTTAGAATATATAAGTAGATGTTCTTTTATAGAGTAATTATGTTCTATCACTACATAGCCAGATTGCCACACTACTATATAAATTTTGCAATCAAAAACCTATAGCAAATAGTAAGACTTGTACACTGCTAATTAAATGGGAATAACCAGGACATAGTAAAATAGCTTCTGTCATATGAATGTATTATTTTATAGATTTTGGTAAGTCAAGAAAATTATATTTTTTTCCAGATTTTAGGTAATAGAATACTAAGAAGAGTATCGTTTATGTTGAGACTTGAGGAACAAACTTCAGCTTTATAATGTTCCCCAATACCATCTCCTTTCCTTGAAAAATAAAAAAGTATTACAAATAATAACAAAAACACTACAAGCAATACTTGTAATTTTTGTGTAATGTTATCATTAGGAATCTCTTGCTACTATTAGTTTTATAATATATATGCACATCTCTTCTTTGTGTGTGTCTTGTGCCACATCTCTAAAGTATTATATTTCTACCTACTCCTTTCTTGCTCTGGAATTAAGGTTATAGTAATAATAAAAGCTATGACCCTGAAAGGTAAGGGAAGTATTGATTATAACTGCCTAATCTTTCATTTTCTTCAAAAAGGTGTGAATTTAACAGCTTTTGAATTTAGCCTTTGAGGTTTATTTTTCAAGGATTATTTTTTCTAAACAAGGTGATGCAAATGCTGCTCTTTAGCATTTGTTTTTGGAAAAAAATAATTCAGAGTTCTTGAGTATTCCCTTATTTCCTCTGTTCCCTTAATAGCACTTTAGAGCAAATGGTAGGTCCCAACTTCTACATCAAAAACTTCTTCAAAGCTCACCCAACCCCCACCTTTTTCCATCGCAGGCAACAGTTGTAACCATTAGCAAGGTCAGTGGCTTGGAGAAACCTGGAAAACAGCAGCTACCAGAAACCCACTAGAATATCTCCAGCAGGTGACAGATTAGTTGGAACAAATTAGAACCATTGCAGTTCAGCAATCCTGGTTTCTTTCAAGCTGTTTTTAAAATGTCGTCATTTTAATACACAATCTAAGCCCCGCGGAACAGTCCACAGCAGGTTAATTTGAATCATATGATGTGTCACTGCCCTCAGCTGACATGAGCTCTATTCCATGTGTGAAGCCATAATAAATCTATTCCCAACCGAGGAAAATTCCCCGTGAGAAGGTGAACTAATCCAGGCCTCACATTGGCATGCTAGCCCTCCATAATTGAAAGCAGGGCCACCTGTTCCTGGCACAGTTAGCCATAGAGAAAAAATTAGCGTTCGATCAGATACTTCTTATATTGAAAAATCATTCATACTTGAAAATTTAAATTCAGCTGTGAAGTGTTTGGTATGACATCATACAGAAATGTAGGAATGTGTTCGCTTGATCCCATTTTTAAAAGTTTTGTTAACCATGGGATTTCTTAACTTTGAAATGAGGTTTTGGGGTTTTATTATTATTATTATTATTATTATTTAATGAGAGCTGACATGTGAGAAGAAGAACTGGTAAGAGTGCAGATTTTTCTAATTAACTCAGGGTCATTTGCAAAAACATTTGAGCTCCCTGGTATTTTTCTTATTGTTCTTTTGCAGACACATTTTGAGCCACTGTCACTGTAGCCAAGAAATGACATTTAAATAACAACAAAGAACAAAAGTGCCAAATTGGGAGAACATTCCCAAGTCATTTATGTTTTATCGTAAATTAATGATTAGCATGCCACAGTCATC